AAAATTAGCCAAGTGTGGCGGCGCATGCCTGTAATCCCAGCTACTTGGGAGGCTGAGGCAGGAGAATCACTTGAACCCAGGAGGTAGAGATTGCAGTGAGCCAAGATCACACCATTGCACTCCAGTCGGGGCAACAAGAGTGAAACTCTATCTCAAAAATAATAATTATTATTATTATGGATATTAGCACCAACTCACACAGGCTACTAAGGCACAGACAGTAGTGGGTGGCAGAAAGGCCAGCTGTGGATGTGCGTGTCTGAGCACACATACAGGTACACATGTGCACACAGACACATGTGTAGTGGGTGAGAGGAAAATCAAAATTCATCCAGTGACTCCTCTCTGAGCACTGAACAAAGTTCAAACTCCTCAGCCCACACTCAAAGGCTTCCACAGGATGGCTCTGACCCGTATTTCCAACCAGAGCCCTCTCTGCCTTCCTTCAGTTACTACTGCATTCCACCAAGCCTGGAGAGACCCCACACCTCCAGGCTGGCTGCTTCCATGGGTCAAGCCCTCCTTGGACTTCCTCGTCTGTGCTATTACAGAACTCCATCAATACCTGACTTTGCCATCATCATACCTTTTGCCAGTAAGCCTCACACTATAGTGGCAGAAAAACCACCTGGAGACTTTGTGGAAAATGCAGATTCCCAAGCCTCACCTATAAAGACCATGATTTTGTAGGTCAGAGCTGGGGCACAAGAATTTGCACCTTTTATAGCCACCCTTGGTGACACAGACTCAAGTGATTCTTAAAACACAACGTGAGAAACACCTCAAGGTACTGTAAATTACATATAACATACTAACCTAACCGCAATTTGAGAGCAGAAACCAGGTCTTGTTCATTTTTATATAAACCAGTTTATAACTAGAACCCTGTATTTTAATTATCTGCTATCTAAACCAGTATCTCAAAAACAATCAGCATTCAATAGATAGATGCTTATTAAAATTGTATGTGAATGTTACCACAACTAAAAAAAAAAACTTGTATCAGGATGGTGGCCATGCCCAAAGTCAGAATCTGCTAAGGAATGGCCGGGCGCAGTGGCTCATGCCTGTAATCCTAACACTTTGGGAGGCTGAGGCGGGCAGATCACTTGAGGTCAGGAGTTCGAGACCATCCTGGCCAACGTAGTGAAACCCCATCTCTACTAAAAATATAAAACTTAGCTGGGCACAGTGGTGCGCGCCTACAGTCTCAGCTACTCAGGATGCTGAGGCAGGAGAATTGCTTGAACCCAGGAGGCATAGGTTACACTCCATCTTGGGCAACACAGTGAGACTCCATTTCAAAAAAAAAGAAAAAAGAAATCTGCTAAGGAATGTATAGCAACTTACCTGCTATTAAATTTAAAAAAAAAAAAAAGAAACTTAAAAAAAATAGGAGGCACAACTACTACAAATTATCCTATTACAAATTATCTAATTACAAATAAACCAAATTTTAAAAAAATGAATAGTGTATTATGCCTAATCCACATCTACGAACCTAAACAGGCAACTGGTAGCTCAAACCCACACTCACCTGGACTCCGGAAAAGCCAGCTAGACTCCTGACTAAGAGATTAAGAAACTTCTCTAAGGTCA